CCAAACCCAATATTGTTTACTGTTTTCCTGTTTCTTAGATGACAAAAGTCCAACATTCTTTTCCACATCTCGTTCGTCCAATATTTAAAACAGGGAAATTTAATGTTAAATGTCGAAAGAACGCAGTCATTAAATATTATAATTGACTTTGAGTAAAAAAAGTCCAGACAGGCTCACAAAAAAATTACGGTGCGTGCACTTCAATGCGGAACACTCGAGTATCCAATGACTGAAAACTGCGGAAAAGTGCCAGAGAATAGCGAAGTTTAGAATACGATTAATGACAAAAACTGCAATGCGCACTGGGGCAATGAGCTAGTGAATCGTCACGCTCATTGTTCCTGCGCGGATCACATATTTCACAAATTATCGTTTTATAGTCATGTTTTAAATTATTTCCGCTCTTCGTTGTCGTTTTACGAGAAAGTGGAAGAGAAAAATACCAGTTTCTATCATTGTGTGGGGTCTAAACATTTAGTAGAAGCCGCCGTCGGCCGATAGAAAGAAGCGAGAGTACCCTTTCGGTGCTGATTTGCATATTCCGGTGAATGTTCAAAAGCGCAGCCCCTATTAGCGGCGAGATGTTTTAGTGGCACCCTCGTATGGTTTCCTCTCGTGACGTCATTACCTTACGAACAACGAGTTCGACGGTGTTTAGAATTAGCTGGTGGAAGCTTGAGATCATTGCGCTCTGAAACCAACACTGCCAATCCCGTCAAAATTGAAGTTCTTACATTGCTCTTATTTCTTTCAATGAGAAAAGCTTTGCTGATGTCATAGTGACCATTCGGCCAATCGTGGAAGGCCGATCACAGTGACGCTTTTGATCGCGCACGTCGCCAATGCTGCGTTCACCATTAAGGCCGGTTCTCACATGCAGCGAAGCGCTGATGTAGCGCTCCTCACGTGCCATCAGCTACTTATCGTATACCATGAGCAACAGTTTTGACGGTGCGATACAAAGCTGGTGAACGCTGCCGTCAGCACGCGCTTAGCGCGAGGTTAGCGCTATGCTTGTAGCGCTCCGCTGCATGTGTGAACGGGCCTTTAAGCTCAGACTAGAAGCTCCGCTTTAAGCGCGAGCTTTCTGCCCTTCCAAAAACAAGCGTGATCGTGCAGGCACGCTCAACCAATGCACTGCCGAAGCCAGCGAGCTCGCGTTGAAGGCGAAGCGTCTGGTCTCAGCTTAGAACGGAGTAGCAAGCGCCTCTGGGACGTTGAAGCCCTCAGGTGCTTCAACGTCCCAGTCTTCGGAGTCTCGAAAGCAAATGTTCCGCTTCAGCGCTGCTAACGAGCATGGTGGCCAGGATTTGTAGCAGGCGGGTTACATTAGGATACAAGGCCTCTGGGCAAATGCAAGTTGCCTGTACCGCTGAGACGCGCTAAGCGGTGCGGTCCCTCCACATCTGTGTCAAAACCAGTACTTCCCCAGGAAGTTCATCTAACAAAACGAATGCTCCGCACAGGCTGGAGATTGGCGACCTGCGTCGTTGGCCACAACATTGCTGTCGCCTATGGCGGACAATGCTGCCTGACGTGAATCTGCTGGTTCTGTTGGAGACGTTGATGACAAGCTTGAAGTTGTAGGTCAATAATCATTCTTAAAAAAAAAAGTCAAGAACTGCTTGGCTCTTGAACTCATTTTTGAAAGTCTATATACGTAGAGGAAGTTCCACGACTCACGTGCTGAACGCAAGCATGTAAACATTACCCACTTCAGCGATTAAAGAAGTCAACTAGGTACGCTTTGAAACCAAATGATGATGAGCATTCCAAAGTTGCTTCAACAGTGCATATGCTGTCGCTTTTCTCTCTTGCTTCTTTTCTTTTTTCTTTTTGAATGATGGGGATGTTTTTGAGTGTGTTTTTTGCATTTTTGTTTGTGTATTATTGAAGCTAAATAAGTAGAGGCGAGTAAACCCTAAAAAAAAGACAAGAGAAAAAAAAAGCGCTAAGCTGTTAGTTATTTTGTCGTCCGGTTTTCTCCTCATTGTAGGGTTCGTAAAGTCAGAGTATCCCTATTTTGGAGTTTTGTTGCGCTGCCCTGCTTGTTGCGCTGCTCGTCGAGTCCGACTCGACGAGCAGCGCAACAAACTCAAAGGGTAGGGGAACTTTAGTTAAGCCGCCTGCATTCCCCGAGGCGAGGCCAGCGTCCTTCGAGGTCAGGATTTCGCGGCTTATGTGACGTCGGGAACAAAGCCATTCGCACCTGCGAGCCTGAAGAAAGGCTTTGGTTACTAACATGGCCAAGTTTGAGAGAGCTGTTCGAAGAGCCGGAGCCGGAGATGTATTTTTCCCACAGTCCACGGACAGCGTCGTCTTCGTTTTGCTTCGGTATGTTGTGGACACAGCCCCTCGCCGTAGTAGACTGTCGAAACGAAACACACACAAAAAAAAAAATATACTGACATTGGAAAGGGGGAAGGGGTAAAGAGGACAACCATGAAAATTCGTTAATGTTCCGACCCTTGAACCCCCCCCCCCCCCCCCCACACACACACACACCCCGGTCCCCTGGCTACGCCACTGGTATGCAAATATGTTCGTGTTTTCCAAATAAAATTCAGTTGGCAGTAGCGCTTTTAGTTTGCACAACTACTTCTTTCAGCTCGTTTTTTTTTTTTTTTTTTGCGCTTCTAAGTATAGGATTGTTGCAGCTGACTTCACTTCCGGCTAAAGTGTAGGTCAAAACCAACACTGTCGTCTACTATCAGTGCCTTGGCGACATGTTGGAGGCAAAAAATGTTCCTCGCCTGACATGAAGTGCAGTCAGTAAACCCGTAGTTAGTGTACCAAGCTTTTCTGTCAAGATCATTGAGTCAACTATAATAATCTAAAGCGAAAAGTCCCATGCGTTTGGCCGCGGCGGGAGGGCGATGCGTAGAAGCGGACATCGGCGGCCCCATTTGGCGGTTCCTATGAGCTTATATCGCTGGCGACGTATATGCACCAAGGAGCAGCAAAAAATCACCTGTAAATTCTGCACCTTTTTTTTTTTTTTTTTTGCAGAAAAACATTTGAATTGCGTGTTGACAAAATTAAATAAAGGTAGGCTGTACCAACTCACTTATTAAAACATCCCTGCCCATCTTCTCCCCCCCCCCCCCCCCCCCCGAAAAAAAAAAAAGAAGCGGGTAGAGAAAAAAAAAATCCTTCCCCGGAAAAAGAAAAAAAAAAAAAAAAAAGAAATCTGCGCCGAGCAGCGTCGAACATGCGTCGACCAGAGCCGTTTATACTGAGAGAGTTTGGCCTTCTTAAGGAGATTTTGGCAGTCTGACAACCACAGCAGCGTAGTCTGACAACCGGGGGATGACTACTTCCGTCCGCCATATTGTGGATCTGCCTCATAGGAACTCTACGCGATTTCACAGGAATGAACAAGACAAAGAAGTAACGCCATATTGTGTTATCGCGAAATCCGCTGGTTCTAGCGGCCAACAAGCTCCGCCCATCGGCCAAACTCTCTCAGTATAAACGGCTCTGGCGTCGACCCCATAGCGGCGCCATCTGTTGACAGCCCGTGATACCGCGAGGAGAAACTAACTCTCGGTACAGTTACTCTCGAGTTCGAGTGAGGGTTAAGGGAGAGTATCATCGAAAGAAGCGGTGGCGAAACAGTAACTTTGATGAAGAGAGAGTTAAAGTAGAGTAAGTTAGGGCACTTACTCTTCTTTGACACCTTTTTTTTTTAGAGTGTGGGCTCCTGCCGATGGACACCGCCACACTCCGCGCCAGCACTGGCCTCGTCGTCTTCCTGGCACACGATGTCGTCGAAGTGGCCGACGACGTCCACGATCCTGTCGACTGCGCCAGTAATGTTTCTAGTCTATCGTGGGGTGCTGCGCTGGCTGGAGGGTGGCTCGTTCCCGGTGCCCACAGGGATGCTCACGACTCGGCGGTTGAGTAAATAAATATATATTTACAGATTATGAACAACTTTTTACAAGACAAAACAATTGTCACGCTGCTGATGCCGCGGCAACCCAACGCCAACAATAGCGCCTCGGCGCCAAGTCCCTTGCCGCGCACGGCAAGGTCTCTGTCTCGCGAGACAGAATACGCGGAGCCCTCGGGACAGGACCGCGGGAGAATAACGTCTTGCTCCGCGCACGGGCTCGTTCAGACTCAACTTTTCCGATAAGGCGCACCGACATTCCGAAGGGAGGCCGGACCTCCCTCTCTCCCCCGAAGTCGCCGACATGGCCCTGACAAGGTCGCCTCCCCAATTACCACGGCGGCAAGGGCGACCACCCACTCCCGCCTGGAGAACGAAGGTTTTGTTCACTTCCCACGCGGGGAAATCTGCTTCCACTTTGGGGAGCTGGCCGCCGCTTGCCGCCAAAGAGAAAAACGTGAGACATCAAGCGCCTCTGAATGACGCTTCGGGTAACCTCGCCGCCAATTCCCCGAGCTCTTTCGGTTAAACCCTTCCGGCCATCCCTACAGTTGCTGCAATTCAGATTTTTTTTTATATTTTCAAGTGTCTGAGTTCATTTGTGTTTTGTTAAAATCTACTCATATGGTGCTTCCGATAATAATGCATGGATTAAATTCGAAGCACTGGGGGCAGGGTGGCGTTAAAAAATTACTTCTTCTGGATGCATGCTGAAGCAACGAAACGTGTCAATCATCATTATGGGGGAAGGTAATAAAGTTGAAGACAAAGAAAAATTGATGCCGACATAAAAAAGACTTATGGAATTAACTTACGTTGTTCTTTTTACTTTAGGAAGAAGAAAAAAGGGGGGGGGCAAAGAGATTTTGTGTTTTATTTCAATGAGCTCCACAAAATGTCGTGCAAGATTCGTGAAACGCGCTGGGATATATATTTTTGTCGATTTTTTTAAAAATAATTTAACAAAGCAGTCGGAGCGATGAATGCCTTAAAACTCAGAATATTGATTAATTTTTATCAGCTATGTTATTCATAACATGATTATATCTTAAGTGAATGTGAGCAAACAATCTAGAAACAAATTAACACTCATTTCTATTTACAGAAGAAACTATAACCGACGGAGACTGTCGGATTGACTTGAACAGGGGAAAGTGCGAACATAAAAAGAAAGGAAGGCCTAAAAAACCAGTTTCCCGGTGGTACTTCAACAGCACCGACTCCACCTGTTATAGGTTTATGTGGTATCGTTGTAGTGGCAATAGAAATAACTTTCCTACGAAACAAGATTGCATGGTATGCCAAAGAGGTAAGTCTTTATTGTGGGTATCGAACAAGTACATATTAACACTTATTAATGCTGATCCATATCTTAAATAGCAGCAACGGTATATTAGAGTGCATATGGCACAGTATAAATAAAGATGTTTCTTAATTAAGCAGAGCTTACCTTCAAGAAATTGCACGAAATATTACACTTGCTTTATTATTCTTGCACATAGTAAGCTCAGAGACCAATAATGCTGGTTTTGAATGAGTCAAAAATATAAAACCGCACGGATTTTGTTTTTCAAGACTAACTCAGCCGGTGTATTTTCCCTTTCCTCTTTCTGCTATCACGTAGCGACGCAACAGTCACTGAGTTTAAAAAAAGAAAAATCAAAGTTGTTACCTTTATTTTTCTTAATTTACTACAAACGTTACGTTAACATTATTTCCTATAAACAATCAATTAAGCCACCCTCAGGTAGCACAACACATGGGGCCACAATTTTGTTTTTGTCTACAAATTTAGGGCCTTAGAAAGCTCGATGAAACGAAGGTAGTGACAAAATTGGCATTCTTTTTCAAGTCTTTTGTACCTTCGCCATACTTCGCCAGTACATGTGCCAAAGTTAGGCTTCTCTGTTAGTAGTTTTACTGTCATCTCGCATCTTCGGGCTTAAATCGCCAAACAAGTGCCAGCGTTAGGCCTAAAGGTCTAGTTATTTGTTTTGTTATGTGGCAACTTTGACCCTAAATTGCCGAACAAGTGCCAGCGTAAAACTTCACTGCTGGTTTTTCGGTTCATACGTGGTAACTTTGGCTCAAGTTCAGCACTTTGGCAGTTAGGTGGCAAGCAAGAAAAATAAAAAAAAAGCCATGGAAGATTAAAAAGAAACGTACTTGGGCATTATCTAACGCATTAGGAAAAAACATTACTGTGCACAAGGTTGGTCTCTAGGGTTGCAAAATCAGTGCTAAGTTATGCGTTTTGCTGTCGTGCTTCCTAAACATTTTCATTATATTAGGAAATAAAAAATGAAAAAAAGTTTTAAAACTGCTCGTTAGTAACTGCACATATCTTAAGCTAACTGTTACGATGGTACACAGTGCGACACAGTTAGCACAAACCAGATACTGTAAGTATTTTATTTTGATCATACTTAGAGTATTTGTAACAACATTCGATTGGCCAGGTTGATGTCTATGGAGACATATTTCACCACACTGCAAATGTTTGTCAGTAATTCAGTTCCAAAATGAAAATTATGGGCGAGCGCTCGTTTGTGCTAGGTGTGTCGTGCACGGTGACTCTATTTTTTTTATCACCATTTCAATTTAAATTAGAAACATCAAACTGCATTACTAAGCGCACCACTTAACCAACTCTTAAAATTCGATTGACTATAGTTGTGGGAACGAGGGTCTGCCACCCAGGGTTTAAAGTCTGGGGGGTCTCAGGGGGTCTAGGAGCCCCCTCTGATCTTAAAGGATGGTCTGAGACCCTCATCCACAGCCCCAGCATTAGTGAAAGCAAAAGCATATTTTGCAATAAAATAGTGTTTTCAGGGATGTGACAGTTGGGGATTAGCAATTTGAGGGTTGCAGGTGTAGCGTGGGTAGAGTCAGCAGTGGGGTTTATTTTATGTGCATCTAGTACATCTCGTCAGAACCCCCCCCCCCCCACACACACACACAAACACATACACACACCTGCTTGTAGGGACCCCCCTCAAGTTACGGGAGGCTTTAAGCACTGTAATGCCACCCCGCCCAGGGGCCGCTATTGACCACCCAAAAAGGACAAAGTCCGAAACGCACAACAGTGCATGAGGAAAGGAAGACGGACCATGGTCACGGAGGCGTGCAGTTCCAACGCTCCGGCAATGTTTTACGTTTATACTAATAACCCAATCCCGTTACTCTAATAAATGTAGTTTCTCGTTACGGAAACCCCGGCTTCGTGTTGTTCCTCCCGGATGGGCATGCAGTAAGGCCACCCTACCACAAAGTGAACCCCGGATGTCCTATAATTTACGCCAGTCAAAGGACTACATTCATAAAATAATATATACATGTTTTAGTATATCATATCTTCATTACTTTTTGCCGACAAAACCGGAAAAAGTGAAATATTGCAGTATGCTTGATCTAGAAGATACAAGTCTCCGTTCATTTAGAAGATTCGTGTATACTCTTACTGCGAGCGAGAAGATAAGGAGGCCAGAATGATCCTGCCTAGTCAGTCACCCCCTTCCTCTTTCTCAAACATTCTGCGTCGAATATTCGAGATTACGAGAATAGTAAATAAAGAGCCGGGCGCCCTATTGCCGGTTCATTCACTGTTTCTCGCTCGCGATAACCGCCGACACACGGTCGCTCGCTGTTGCCGCCGTCGACACTCGCTGCTGCTTTCTCGACGTGTGTTGTCCTTTTTCGTTCCTGGTACAAGTTCGATACCCTTGAATATTTTCTTCATTCCGCTTTCTCCTGCCTCATCGTCTGTCATTCGTGACGTTTGTGGTGGAGGTGCGGGGTAACGCAGCCCATGAAGTGTACCCTTCCGAGGCCTCGCAGCGCAAGACCAGTCCCTGGCTGGTTCGTGGAGATTACCGAGACTCGAGGAAGCCGCCCTGTTCAAGGCTTGACTCTGCAATTTGGTCTACTGCCGGAGTAGACCCTTTGGTCGACGAAGGCGGCGATTAGCAATCAATCGTCGCAGACTGCCGCCGCTGCCTTCCCCGCTGTTAAAGTGCCTGTCGCCCCCCCCCCCCCCCCCCCAACTCCGATGAATTTCCACGGCGACGTGTGCGAAGATATAGAGGAGTGGATCAACCAGTACAAGCGATTGGCCGGGCACAATGGGTGGACGCGTGACCAATGCCTTCAGAACGTCTACTTTACCCTCCAGGGCACGGCGCAACACTGGTTGGAGAATCATGAAATCTCGATTACGTCATGAGACCAGCTAAAAGGAGAGCTTCAACGGGACGTTCGCCAGTCCACACCGTCGGGAGAGAGCCCCGGACCTCCTACGAACGAGGACGCAAGGTCCCCAACGAGAGCATCGCCAGCTACGTTGAAGACGCTCCACATGTGAGTGCACGCCCCGACCCTTAGGCGGCGGAGGAAAATAAACTGAAGATCCTCACGCACGGCATCAAAGAGACAATATTTGGTGGCCGTGTGCAAAACCCGCCTACAACCATTGATGGTTTCTCAAAGGAGACGAATAACATCGAGCGGGCCCTCAAGCCCGTGTCGTCAGTAAGCGACTGCCCAACGTAGCTATTCCTGCGCTCTCTAGCCTCGATGTTGGTTCCAACCTCGCGGGTATCCGAACGTCCGCAGCGTCATTCCGGACGAGCTGAAAAAATTTCTGCCGAATGCCGAACGCCCGGCTCCACTATCCGTCACCGAAACCATCTGAGAGAAGATCCAACGGGCGCTCCAACCGGAAGCCGCCATCAGCATCGCGGCGCCCGAGGAACCGATCGGCAGCTAGGACGTCGCTGCTTCCACCCCGACGACCCGCTCCCACGCTACAGAAAGCGACCTTAGGAGATCGGCGACTACCTACGACGTCCACCCTCTTCGATGCTTGCGCCTCGAAGTGGGTCCTAGGCGCCCCTACCACGACGTCCAGCTTCGCGAATGCATAGGCCCCACCGTGTAAGCCTATGGCCCCTCGCCCCTCGCCGAGGAAACTAAGCGCGGCAACCCCTGGAGGTGGAGTTGCCGAGGACAACCGTCGCAAAGATCCTCCAAGAACGTTGGAGGGCCCGATTCCGCAGCGGTGCCCAACAAGCTCAACGTTGTCATCGAAGGGCACGACGCGTCGGCGCTCCTCGACACCGAAGCAGATTACTTCGTTCTGAGTGTTAAACTCCCTCGACACCTTCGAGAAGTCACGACGCCGTGGAACAGGCCGCAGATACGAACCGGCGAAGGGCCCCTCGTCACGCTAGTTGGGAGGTGAACTGCTCGAGTCGAAATTCACGGGGAGAACTGTCCAGTCAAGTTCGTCGTCGTACGGGACTGTGCGAGAGACGTCATCCTTGTGAGGGACCTCCTGTGTGAGTACGGTGCTGTGATCTACCTTGGAGGTAACAGATTGACGTTGCAAAAACCGGCCCTACCTCTGGATGGGTCCAAAACGACGCCAGCTGCCGTCCGAGTAATTGCGAGCCACGTGAACCTGCCGCCGCTGTCAAGGGTTCTCGTGCACGTCGGGACCAATGCAGACGCCTGCGGGGAAGCTCTTCTGGAAGGCAGCGTTACACTGCACATCGGAAGAAGAATTGCCGTCGCACGGGGCACTGCGGATTTCCAAGAAGGACGTATAACTATTCTCTTGACGAGCGTTCGACGGGAGTCGCAGCACCCAACAAGGGTACTGCCATGGTCGAGGTCGAACACCTTCGAGCGTCAGCCGCCATTACCTCAATCTTCAAGAAACCTGCGCCGTCACAATCTAACAGCACGCCGCCTTTGCGGTTCGACGTCGACACCAAGCTGTCCGCTTCAGAACGTGGACGGCTAGTTGAACTTCTCAACGAGTATTGCGAGTGCTTCGCGACGTCATCAAGGGTGCGACAAACGACGTTAGCAAAGAACCGTATCGTTACTAACGACGACGCACTGCCGTTACCCATCAGTTGCCGAAATGGGTCTTTTTTAAAAAAAAAGGGAGGTGATACATGAACAGGACCACGAAATGCTCGTCAACGACATTGTGCTAACTTCAAGTAGTTCATGTGCGTTATCAGTGTTCTTGTAAAGAAGAAGGACGGAACATTGAGGGTCTGCGTGGACTACCTTCGACTAAATGCCGTGACGAAGAAAAATGTCTACTCGCTTCTCCGAATCAACTACCCACTAGATCGGCTGCGCCACGCGCCATACTTTTCGTCAATAGACTTAAGAGCGGCTACTGGCAGATCGAAGCCAACGAACGAGATCGCGAGAAGACAGTTCGTTATGACGGATGGACTGTAGGAATTTAGTGTAATGCTCTTTGGACTATGCAGAGCACCGGTAATATTCAAGCGCGCTGGCTGGGCTTTATTTAGAAAGGTGTCTCGTGTCCCTCGACAAGGTCGTGATATTTTTAATCGACTTTGACGAACACTTTTGGCAATTTCGGGCCGTGCTTCAAGCCATCAAGACCGCCGGACATCCACTTAAGCCGAACAAGTGCAGGTTCGCCTATGTCGAACTGAATTTTCTAGGTCATGTCGTGAGTAGCGAAGGCGTACCGCCCGACCCTGCGCATGCGTCCGCCATAGCCGAGTTTTCCCGCCCAACGGACGAAAAGATTTCTCGGGCTTTGCACCTAGTATAGACGCTTCGTTCGGGACTTCGCAACACGTTCCGCGCCTCTGACGTACCTTACGAAGGATGCCATAAAGTTCGACTGGGCAAAAAGAATAACAGTGAGCCTTCGACGAGCTCAAACGAAGACTTCAGACGCCTCCGATTTTTGCCATTTCAACCAATTTGCAGCTACCGAAATTCACAACGACGCAAGTAATACAGGATTAGGCGCGGTGCTCGTCCAACTCTAGAACGGCACAGAAAAAGTAATTGCCTACGCCAGTCGGACACTCTCCAAGGCAGAAAGCAATTACTCAACGACCGAGAACGAATGCCTTGCAGTCGTCTGGGCGATAGGCAAGTTCCACCCATATATACACTTGTACGGAAGCCCGTTTCGAACGGTCATAGACCCCCACTCGCTTTGTCGACTCGCAAACCTGAAGAATCCATCAGGAAGGCTCTCACGGTGGCGTCTTTGACTTAGAGTTCGACATGAGTGTGGTCTTGAAGTCGGGCCGCAAGCACAGCGACGCCAATCGTTTGTCGAGGGCACCCGTCGAGTTGTCGTCTGAGAGCACCAACAATAGGGACGACAACGACGTCTTTTTGTCGTTGTGATAACCGTGAACAGCCTGGTATGTACTTCAACTAGACGATCCTGAGCTGCGTGCATTCATCGAGCATCTGGAGGGACGAGGTAGTGTAGTTCCATGTGTCTTCGCACGAGGCCTGACAACCTTCGCTGTTCAAGAAAGTGTACAGTACAAAGAGAACTTTGGCGTCACCATCTAGACGTGACAGCTGGTTATTCCTGCGAGTCTTCAAGGGGAAGTCTTCCAAGCGTGCCACGACGATCTGACGGCAGGGAGCCTGGGCTAGAGCAGAACACTTGCACGGATTCGAAAAAAATACAACTGGCACAAGCTCCCGAAGACGGCCAACCTCTACGTTCGATCGTGCTGCAAATGCTAACGACGCAAGAAACCACCAACGAAGCCGGCATGACTCCAGCAGCCAATCACTCTCCGGACTGCGTCCTTCCAGCAGGTAGGAATGGACTTGCTTCGAACGTTCCCGCCATCAACGCAAGAACACTGGTGGATCATCGTCGCGACCGATTACCTCACGAGGTATGCCGAGACCAAAGCCCTTCCCTTCCGTCGTGTACTGGAGTGGAAGTCGCCAAGTTCTTCGTTGAATCGATCCTCCTCAGCCACTGCGCTCCTGAAGTACTGATCACAGATCGAGGGTCGTCGTTTTTGCCCCGGCTAACTCAAGAGATCCTCCGGCTCGGCCATACCAGCCATCGTCGAACTGCGGTTGACCATCCGCTGAAGAACGGGCTGACGGAACGGTTAAACAGGACCATCGGCGACATGATCGCCATGCACGTCGACGTGGAGCACAAAACGTGGGACGAGGCCTTGCCTTACGTCACGTTTGTCTGCAACACGGCAGTTCAAGAGACCACTGGAGTTACGCCTTTCCAGCTGGTACTTGGTCGGAAAGTAACTACCATGCTGGAAGCGATGCCGCCCCACGAGTCAGCTGACGATTGGGCTGACGACTCCCAGGAAGACGGCTCAACAGGCCGAACAAGTCAGCCAGCTCGACCGACTCGGGATTCAAGACCAGCAGCGTGTCGACGCTGGCTGCTACAACTTTCGTCGTCAAGTGCTCATTTCCTGCCCGGAGACAGGGTGTGTTTTTTTCGACACCTATTCGTCGCTGCGGCCACAGCGAAAAACTGCTGAAACGGTGCTTCTGACCTTACAAGACACTTCGTTGCATCGGGTAGCTCAACTACGAAGGGGTGCCGGACGGGGTGCTAACATCATCACGAGGCCGATCACGACTCGAGGTGTTTCATGTCGTTCGACTCAAGCCGTTCTACTCTCGGTAGGACTGCGGACGTTTCGTGTTCCGGAGGACTCTTCTCAGCTTACCCTTATATTGTGTTGTCCTGTTTTGCACCGGGGCCACCGTGATTGGGGCGATGTGCTTTTTAAAGGGGGGAGTAATGCCACGCATATGAACGAGAAGATACGCTTCTCCGTTAATCTAGAAGATTATAGTATACTCTTATCCCGAGCGTAAAAGATAAAGAGGCCAGAATGACCTTGCATGGTCAGTTTCGCCACAGCTCTTTCCCGAACATTCTGGGTCGGTCGAATATTCGAGATGACGAGCATTGTAGATAAAGAGCCAAGTGTCATATTTCTGATTCATTCACTGATTCTGATTTTCTCTTGCGATAGTGAGTTGTTGCGCCGACTCACCGTAGCTAGCTGATGCCGCCGACGACGCTCTCTCTGGTGCTTTCTCGAAAAAAAAAAATTGGTTTGCTTTGTATGTTTATACAGCCTTGATGGAGATGTGCCTCAACGGGTAATCGGTATCTTAGCTGCAGATGAGAAATTTAGCCAGTGCAGTCAACTACTAACCTGGGGTTATTAACACGTATCACGCAGTAGTGATCACACGAACGCGTTCCAGTACGAAACTCATCCAGATCGACACGGGCGGGGACGGTGGGGATCGAACCCAGGAGGCTCTTATTGCAAGCTTTCGCTCCACGGCTGAGACGCGTTAGCCCACTCGGCCACTTCCTCCGTTTTTTTTTTTTTCGTTATTTTTTCTTTATTGTCGGTCACTTCCTCCCCTTGGTGCTTTCTCTAAGTGTGTTGTTCTTTTTAAAGCGCAGCTCTTATGGCTCGTACACACTTGCGAAATAGGCACTCGACGCCGACTGCATTCGCTCGCCGAAAAAAAGATCGGGCCGTTGACATTTGTTGCCGCCTGCGCAGTGCGCGGTGCGAGCGTCTGGCCGTTTCCCGAACAGACGAGAGCTCCCAAACCTCCTCCTTGCCCGCGCGTGTCTCGTCGCCATCGTCGTCAGCTCGTCAGCGGGGATCTGACGTCAACAAGCGCCACTTTGCCCGTGCGTTCTGTTTAGCTTACAGTGAGTGAAAACTTTTTTCCGGTGTTCGAAATTGGTCCCAGAGCGATCTTGCTCTCCGCTGGGAATTCTGCCTGCTTTCGTCGCCGTGGGTCAGAATTCTCGCGGATCCGGCCGCCGGTTCGAAGGTGTGAACGAGGCATTAGGCATCCGTTTCCGGCTTGAGCGGCGTTGCCGTCGCCGTCGGCGTAACCGCGTGTTGCATTGTTGGACATTTCTTATAATGACGTCACACGTGATGCCCCGTGTGACGTCACGAGTGAAAAGTTTTCCCTCTAAATTTGGCGGTAAATATTTTCGCTAAAGTTAGCAAGAAAATGTTCCCACTAAATTTAGCGGGAAAACTTTAACTTCGTGACGTTACACGTGACCCTTCCCTCTGTACCCTCCCCTCCTACTCCTCAAAAGCTGAGCTCTAATTCGGCATTACAGAAAATTGGAAACACCTTTGATTTTATTATTTCTGGCACAAGTTCGCCCTATTAAATCTTTAATTCATTCGTTTTTTCTTGCCTCATCGTGTGTTTTTCTTGACAATATTCCGACGCCATATCGCATAGCAAGCAACAAGCATCTTTGGTTTTGCTTTTCTTTCAAAACATCGTAATTTCTTTTTATAACTCGAAATTTATATAAAAAGACGATCAAACATATACAGCATTTCCATAAGAAATTAGTTTGAACAATTCCAATTATCATGATTCCGGTAGAAATATTAAAGCTAACGTTTAGAACTGAGGTCAAAGCGTTATTGCGGTTAAAACAGTTTTCTGCTCTCTTAGGTTTCCTTCTTAAATTTCAATACCAGTAGTATTTAAAATAAACTCTGATGTTCTATTTCACCGCTCACGTTTTTATATTCCACTAGCCATGCCAACTACGCCAACTACGCCAGCTACGCCAACTACGACAACTACGCCAGCCACGTCAACAACGCCACCTACGTCAACTACGCCAGCTACGCCAGTTAAGACGACTCTCCCGTCTGAGTGCTGAACAGGCCTTTGTCTACGCTACTGGGCTGCGCAAGACTCGTGAAAGTGCTTCAATTCTGAAATAAATACACATTGACTACCACAAGGTATTAAAATCTGTATACAACTCCTGCACGAGTCTGTCTCTACCGACAACATTCACATGAATAATTACTTTCAAGGTAAGTCGCCACCTATTCACTTCGTTTAGCAGTACGCTCCGTGTTCGCACAAGCCAGAAGAAGGTACCAAATTATTTCGCAAACTCACAATTTTATTTTGTACAAAACCGCCTTCTTCCACAGTCACTGATAACGTAAGAAACGCAGGGCTTGGCGAGTTTCGTGCATCACAGTATCGCTCCCCAGCCAATAAAATTGAGGCATCATCCGAAAGGACGCCTAACAACCTATCACGAGACAAGATGTTTGACCAGAAGATGCCACACCACTCGTTGCTCATTTAGTCAGTGACTCTAAATAAACTACTTTAATGGTCGCTCGCTACATCATATAAACCCGAATTTAAAACTCGTTCCCCTGGTCGCTCATTTTAAACAATTATATTGCTGGGCCGAATTCTCATCATTCCATATAAGCTAAATAATTCAAAAAGAGGATAAACCAAAATAATCTGCAGCGGAATAAAATAGGCAACCCCCAGCACGATCATTAATTTCATGTAACGCTGGAAAGCAATACCAAGTTCCTTAGTCCGCTTTTTTGCTCTCGTTGTCGTTGTTGACGATTTCCATGTTTAATTTAGTTTTCCGAAATAGTGTCTGGACACGCGCAATAAATGTTTATCCGTACTATAATTCTTAATTCCACTCTACATTTTTTTTTCCGTGAGTTACAGGAGCTTTCTCAGTGTTTAAAGGTCTTTAAGCTTGGAAAGATATTTAGCTAGACATTATCATTTTGAAGTTCAGATTTCAGGCAATACAACCTGAAAAAGTCATTTGGCTCCTTTGGTGTTCCTGACAGTTTTTGAGCCCAAGCTGGTCCGAGCTACAACTGAAATGCGAGGAATAGGTACCCTACATTTCCCTATATACTTGACAAATTGAGGGACAATAAAGCTGGTGGGGATCGCAGACACAAAAAAGGCCGGATAAGGTGGTTCTGCTTATATCGTCCGCCGATATACTTCACATATTCTATAAAAAAAAGCCGTTTTTTTTCGAACTAGTGTAAGATACAAAAATGTAAAGAAAACATTTATTTGAGTAATCAGTAGGAAACGAATAAGGGTCTGGTGTATAGATAAAAAAATTATTACAGCTCACAAAATATAACAAACTGCGACTTTTAGAATACTGCCCAGGGAAATATTGAGAATAACTAAGCTGTCACTTGATATTATATAAGCATAGTATCATATTTCATTCAGATAAATTAATCTGTTATGCATGTGGGCTTGATGACTGCTACCAGGGTGTATACTCTAGGACAAAGTAAAATGAAATACATACCAATTACGCATATACAATTCCATACGCTAAAAGCATAAATACTGGAACTATAGTAACGACCTCGAAAAAAAGAAAACTCAAACCAAAAGTTTAGAAACAACAGTTCCCAACGTTTCGGGGTCGACTTGACTCCTTCTTCAGGGGTGACTAAAAATGGAATGGGACAGCGCGAGCTTCGACCTCTCCTTCCTCTTCTACCGAGGTGATATTTTGTGAACGTGACGCAGGCCATGGACGTAAACAGATGGTAAGGCCCCGAGGGACCTGTTAATGTTCCCGGTGTATTTTGGATGTGCCACGACTCCAAGAACAGGCGTCTTCGAATATGTAGCTCCGTGTCTATCACGTGTGCGTTTCCGAAGTCGATCCGATGATCAAAACGACCTCGTGTCAGACGACACCGACGCATCTAAACAGAATTGTTTTCTCAAGTTTCTACAGCCAATACATGAAAATGTTGTTAGAAGAATGTAAGAAAAAAAAAAAAAAAGATTGCTGACGTCTCCTTGTAGGTATACACTCAGTCAGGAGTACGTCTCACTGAAAACAGCCCAATACTATAGTTAGATATTATGACTTTGGACATGTACTCTTTTGCTCAGAGCAGATATTCTGTGTCTTTCACGTCACGTAGCTTAAGAAATACTCAAATGTTTTATACATTGAACTTACTTAACCATGACACAGTCTTAAAAAAAATGATCACACATAATATTTGTTTTTTATGTCGCAATATTGTGAACTATTTTGAGTGATGTTTGTTCTAGAAGAAGCTAGAAGAAACGTCAAGACAGCTACAACTGAAAGGCGTTCAATTTTTCTCTAGATTCAAAATAGCCCTAAGCACCTAGGTGCAAAATACAGGGTGATTCAAGGAGACGCCAGGCACATTAAATCGACCGCAAAATTCGGTATTTTAACCCATCGCGCTACGACGTTGTGCAGCGTTGCCCACCGATGGTGCATTTTTTTGGTGAAATTTTCAAAGAGCAAACTTACCTGAGGAAAAAAGAAAAAAAAAAAAAAAAGGCTTAGCTCCTATGGAATCGCAGCGACGCCGCCGGTCCTCAAACAACACGGCACCGTTTCTCACGGAACACAAGAGATAGCGCAAGCGGTCGCGCCGCCAACTGCCGCCAACGAACGAGCATACGACGCCGAGAGCAGGCGTTTTTAGCAAACAAGGAACTGCAGTTTATTGTTGTTACCGCGCCTGTTTTTGTTTCTGCGACTGTCGCCGCCTGCGGAACGCGCGCCGCTTTTGAGTCAAAAAGATTGTCTGCTAAGACGCCGGCTCTTGGCGCCGTATGCTCGTTCGTTGGCGGCGTTCGTTGCGCCATCTCTGTCTCCTGTGCGAAACGACACCGTGTTGTTTGAAGACCGGTGGCGTCGCTGCGTTTCCAAAAGAGCTAAGCATTTTTCTTTCTTTACTTTTTCCTCACGTAAGTTCGCTCTTTGCAAATTTTACAAAAAAAGAATGCACCATTTGTGGGCAACGCTGCACTAAGTCGTAGCGCGATAGGTTAAGAAACCGAATTTTGCGGTCGATTTAAAGAGCCTGGCGTCTCCTTGAATCACCCTGCAGACCGTTGGAACTAAATTACATAACAACAAAGCGGGAAAGAACGACGGAAAAATAAAATATTAGTCCGGAGAAGCACCGATAAACAACTGAACGTTTATTTTAAGATATCGTCTCCGTGCCAACACTTGTCGAAGCAAACACTCATAGCGAGAAGTGAGAAATCATCATGTGCATATATTCTCCGTATTTTTATAAGTAAACATATTGAAGCCTAGCTGGAAAAACTGCGGAGGCCCTGCCTTTATTGCACATTCCTGTAGCATGTTTTATGATATTTGACTTCGGCAGCTCGGAATGATCCATCTGTTGATGAGGCATTAAGACAATGGAAATCTGAACAGTGGAAAGCTTCGTGCCCTCCAGAGGTTGATTGCACAGACGATTGAAGTTCACGCGTTCATTTCTTTTATACAAGTATAAATTTCCCGCATATCCTTTACCCTCCCCCATGTCAACGAGATTTCGTAAACCGCACGAACAATAAATTTCACATGCCGACGATTCGCTGCACCTAGGTGCCTAATATGCGTACGCTTTTCGGTATTTTGAAGTACATGTAGAGAGCCTTAACGTTCGAAGTTCGAACCGAAACGAAGTAAATATATTGCCTTAGGCAAAAATACATCACTTTATTTAGAGTCGAAACAAAGCTGATCTTAATATATAAAGACATAATTACTACAAAAACAGGTATTAAAATGTAGTGTTTACGGGTGTGATAGCGAATGCGAGAAGTTTGATGCAAAACTGGCCTAGGTTTTGTCGTTTTTGTGTAGCCCATAAGTTTGGACTGTTGTCCAGGCTGGATGCGGAGCTCCTTCTTGGATACAATCGCGCAAGGACAATCGACTTTGCGGGCAGAATAATCACGTGGACATGGTTCGCGCGGGTGTATCTCAAAACGTCCCATTCGCATTTGAACCTTGCACATTTCGACTCATTCTCATTTGGTCCTTCTCGTTTGAACATTCTCATAAGATCCGAATGGTGTTTTTCGCAACTGGACCCATTTTCATTTCGCCCGTTCGCGCTAGGACCGAATGGCTCTAGTTCGGCATGCTTCTAACGTCGTTATGCCTTCGCGGCATTTTTGATGAGCCTTACCTTGCTTGGGCCCCCAACATACCATCATATATATGTTATGTGTAGGGGCACGCACTGAGAATCGTACATTGACGCCAGCTTCCCTTCCTCTAAGCAAATGAGGAAAAAAAGCGATGACATTTAATTTGTAAACTTTGTTTGAACAGAAATAGCATACATAATAGCAGTGGTTCTCAACCACTGATGTTACGCGGACCCCTTGTAGAAAGGCGGTTATGTGGGAGGACCCCGTTCGGGGTTAGGGGAATAGAAAGTTATAGGTTATCATGATAATGATTGAATAAATGGATATAACTAATTGCTAGTGTGAAGTAGACTTATCTCATTGACATACATACGAGAGTACTCTCGCCAAAATTGGAACGTTCCTTCTCAACGTTGCGGGCACCTTCTAGCTCCGATTCCCTCAAACCCTGTCTCCGGATGAATATGACACTTCAATACTTCGCTCTCGGCAAAAGGGTTTATTAACTCACTCATTGCCTTGGGGGCGTTTCGGGATCGGGGGACGGTCATCAGCGAGGCCGGGGAGAGTTCGCTGCCATAGCAGCTTCTCCGAGTCCCAGCGGTGGTCGTCCACACCGCGTCATGGGGACGTCGTCGTCCAGGGTCGCTGCCCGGTCCGTTTGTCGAGTCCGGCACTCGACGTAGTGCCCGCACTTTCCCCGCGCGTGCGTCCGTCTCCCGCCAAATCCCGCGCCAGCGTCTTCGTCTCCTTGTCACCGCTGCACCATCCTTCGTGTCCACCGTTCGAGAGCGCTGTCGTCCAAGAGAGGGCTCCCTTTGTCCGGCTTCCCCTTTTCAAGGCTTGCGTCCTTTCTTCTGGGAAGCCAGTCTCGTGACGTCAGACGGCTTAGAAGAGTGGTCCAGCCGGACCTTGTGCTGCGAGATGTCACCGCCGCTCCCCCGAGGCATGACGTATCTCGGAGGC